GACACACCTTTCCACACAGCTTCTGTTTGCTTCTGTTACCCCACGCACCTGTTCCAGAGGGAGGATGAGAACAAGTCGGCCGCACCCTCGGCTCCAAGGCCAGCTCCCCACATTCATACAGATGCCAACACGTGCATCTGTGGGCCACAGTGACCCTCAGAATTCCCTCCTCCGACCGGAGCGGCCTGAACCCGAGGAGCTTTGCCGACAAAACTGCAGACCTGGCGCCGGTACTCTGGCGAGCACCGTGTACAACAGGGGTCAGAAACCCTTTCCTGGAAGTGGCTGGAGACTGCAGAGCTTTGGGTCCCCGTCCAACTGCCCAGATCTGCCACTGCCATGGGGGGATGGGGAGGCGGCAACCAGCGCCGCAGGGCACCGCCCTGTCCCCCAGATTTTCCTCACGAAACAGCCACTGCGTCTGGTTGGCCTGTGGGCCCAACTTGGCCCAGCCTTGGCTGATTATTCCAGGGCTCTGAGGACTGGCCTCCCACCTGAGTTCAGCGCCCTCTCAAACTGTGGACCCACCACTCTTTCACTACAACAACTCGGAATATTTTTTTTCACATCCATTACTTGTGCAATTTATTTCTCCATCACCCATGAAATGAACTTTGTTCTCTAGAGAACTTTGTTCCCCAGGTTCCTGATCCTGTTTTTAACTTACCAGAGCAGCTTTTCCTTGTGATCTTTTTTGTTAGGAACTGACCTGAACACATCTGCCTGATTTAGAGGCATTGTCAGGATCACTGTCAGGTTCTTCTGGAAAATGGCTGTAGCTTCAGGGGATGGGAGGTGGGCGGGGAACCCCGGTCACCTCGCTGGACCACTCTGAGAGCCAGACTAGCCAACCTGGGCAGTGGAGTGTGGCGCCGCAGTGGGGACAGGGGCGCAGGCTCCCCAACCTCGTGTTCACACAGGGGCCCCCTTAACCCTTCCAGCAAACCAAAGACCCTCAACAGCGATAATTATTCCTGAATGCCTCACGCTAATGAACAAACCCTCTAACATTCGCAGGGCTTCAGAAACCACTCCAGAAGGAGGTGCCCGATGAAGGTATGTAGAAAGGCTTAACTAACAGCCGCTGGGTCAGGCACAAGGTGAACGGACTCTCCCACGTGGCACGCAGGTCTATGGAAGGGCAAAGTGCCGCAGAGACAATAAAACAGTCACTCTGCTTACCAATCCCCACACAGACCATTCCTCCCAAACACCCTCCCCCCAGTTATTGCCTACACCGGCTAAACCACTGCATCCAGCAGGACCCACAAAATACAGAGGCTGCCCGGTGGCCTGGCCCACGTCCCAAACCCGAGCCGCAGTTGGCCAGGAAATGCATCTCTGTTGAGGAAACCCAACACAGGCCAGTCGGGCTCCTCCAGCTCGGTTTAGCCAGCTCACCTGCCCCTCGCAGGCAGGACCTGCTAGCTCTGCTCGCTAGAGGAACCCCGACCTCCCAGCCAGCCAGGCCTGTCCCTGCCGAGCTACTTCTAAGGCTCCATGAACCTCACTCTAGCCCCAAATCCCACAGAAGTGCGACCGGCTGGTGAGGCAGGGAATCCCTGATCCATGGGTCGTTTTCCCTTGAATAAAGGACAATAATTTCCTTATTAAGTAGTTGTGGTTTTGTTACGCGACATGCTCCACATTCAACAGCCAAGCCCTGTTTACTTTACTTCTGAAATATGTCAGACCCAAATGCTCACCTCCTCTGCCCCCCCAATCCACCCTCCAAAACACAGCTCAAACGACCTTCTTCAAAACTGGATCGCTTTTGGGGTGCCTGGGTGGCTCAGTCATTAGGCATCTGCCTTTGGCTCAGGTCATGATCCCAGGGTCCTGGGATCGAGCCCTGCATCGGGCTCCCTGCTCGGCGGGAAGCCTGCTTCTCCCTCTCCCACATCCCTGCTTGTGTTCCCTCCCTCGCCGTGTCTCTCTCTGTCAAATAAATAAAATAAAAAAAAAAAAAAAACTGGATCGCTTTTGGTGGCTTCATTCTGTTCATGGCACAAAACCACGGGTCCCGGATGACATGGGTCCTGCCCATGTCTCCAGCCATGTCTACCCACTCCACCCAGAGCGGGGTTTGTCTCAGCACTACTGACATTTTGGGCTGGATCAGTCTCCGCCGTGGGGGCCATTCTGGGCACTGTGGGGTGTCTAGTGGCACCCCTGGCCTCTACCCAAGAGACGCCAGGGGCCCCTCACGCCCAGCATGACAACCAGACACTGCCCAGTGTCCCCCAGGGGCAAAATCATTCCTCCCTCCTCTGCACATCCTTCCAGCCCCAGATCCCACTGAGCATCGCTCATCTAGCATATTTGACATTGCTAAGGCCACACAAGTCAGATATGGAGAGGATTTGCTCTCCCCCTTGATCCCACCTGCTGGCCCTTCACACCAACCTGCGCCCACCTGGCCAATTAAGGTCCAAGGTATCATGAATTGCTCACACTTAGTAAATGCATACCAAACACTGAAAATGTATTAACTCATGTTTGATTCTCAGAACAAACCTATGAGGCAGGTAAAAGCATCCCCTCTTCGTGGATAAGAATACTGAGCAGCTAAGCATTTACGTAACCTGGCCTCCATCTCACCTGCTGGGGAACCCGCACGTGAAGGCGGGGAGCCCTGCTCCGGAGCTCGTGTCTTTCATCAGTTTGTGATGCCCAAAAGTCTCTCCCACCTCTAGCCTGGGATGGGTCACCTGCCTACATGCTTCCAGAGCACCTATACCTCCTTATCCGTGTACTCATCACGATCCCACAATGCTATTTACAGACCCAGTGTTAATTTACAACTATAAACAGATGCCCAAGAATGGACCCATTTCTTCTTTTTAAAAATCCAATCTTATCTAACTCACACCCCTCCTCTGCTAGACTGAAGGGAACTCCAGTCTTATTCATTTGGGGGGCTCCCTCCCCCACGGCCCAGGGTCACTTGAGGGTTGGAGGGGTCTTTGGCAGGGAAAGTGTGAAGAGATGCTCTAGCTCCACAAGAATGTCTGTCACCATAGGAACCCCTGTCCCCTCCCCTTCCAGGACACCTGGCATTCTTTCCTCAAGGAGCCTCGGTTTTCACAGGACCCAAGATGTCTTTGGTAACTACTGATTTTTCCTTTTCTGTGCTCCCTCCAGAGTGAAGGGGAGACAAGGCTGGCTCTGAAGAGACCAAAGCACAAAGAGCCCTTGTTGTCAATGCTTCATGCACAGCCAGGAAAACAAAGGACAAGCAGCTCAAGGGGCCTGCACCCCCTCTAAATGTCAGTGGTCCCCATGGCCATGCCTGCCTAATTCTCCTAATGGCCCTCTGGCTGGGGGCACCTAGGGGCCTTTGGAATATTGGGGTTCATATGTACAGTTCACATCGGGAGCAAAATGTTAAACAAAGAGATGCTTTCTCTAGTTCCCTAACAGGATCTGGCATCTCTCTCTGACCCCCCCCTTCCCGGCACTGCCCCCCATGCCCCCCCACCACCACCTCGGAAGCACTAGATTCCAGAGAACCCCGCCTTCTGCTTCTCAGGCTTGTCAACCTCGGTCTGGCCTCGGGACCTGTGCTCTTGCTATTACCCCCTCCTGAGCCATCTTCCCAGATCAGAGCGAGCTGCTTCTTTTGGTCACAGAGGTCTGAGCTTAACCATCACCAAGTCAGAACGGCTCCCTGCCCGGCCCGCCTGTGGCCCTAACCACCATTTGAAACTGCCTCCTCTAATTCTGTGGACACCCTGCTAGAGTGTGCTTCATCAGAGCAAAGGCCACAGGGCACTTCCTCCCTCCGTGTGCCCATGAGTGAAAGCAGGGGCACTGAAATTAGACTGAAGATAAACCTGTATAATGAAAATCCTCATTGTGAAATCCTAATCGTAAACCTCAGAAAACTGATTTATCCTCTATCAGTCATTGCCACTTATAATCTGGTGGAGAACTGTAACATCTTTAAGTGGAAAGGGACATTAAAGGGTTGGCTTTGCCGCCAGTCGTTCATTTTAATGATGGGGAAACAGACCCACTGAGGGGAAGTAAGTTGAGAAATTTCATGAAGCAAGTCAGTTAAAAACAGCAACAATGACTCTCCATTAAGCTTCAGGCACTAATCTGGTCTGTGCGTGCCCTGAGGGGCTTACAGTGCAGAGAGGAGAAGAGAAAAAACACAAATAAGCATACGACTAGATCACTGCCCCAGAAGATAAGTGTTGAGAAGGTGAGCACACAGGAGGGGAGGATGGAAGAGGGTATGCTGGGAGCAGAGGAGGGAGGCCCCCTCTGTCAGCAGGGCCCACCCGAAGGATGAGGGAGCACTTGCACGTTTGCTGCACCCTGGGCCTGGAAATCCTCCCCAGCTCCAGGCTTCCAGGGACCCTCCTTCGCACTCAGGATTCTGCACAAACGTCACTTAGGCAGGGAGGCCTCCCCAAGGCCTCCCTGCCTGAAACAGCTCCCGTGCACGAGCAGCCCCTAACCCTGTTAGGTTATATACATTGCGTCGGTCACGGCAGACATCCATGCGCTTTTACTCTCTTCTGCCCCACGGCAATGTAAGCGTCACGCAGACCTGACCTCGGTTCTCCTTGCTGAGTCCCCAAGCCTAGGGCGCTCCTAATGCACAGAAAGCATCAATGAACCAGGCACGGAAGATGTGCGTGCGGAGCAGGCCGGCAGCCCCTGCAGCGCCTTCTCCCTGCCATCCTGCCCTAGTGCGGGGTCCTAAGCGGAGTCCCCCCCCCACCCCCAGACAACCCCAGAGGCCAGTGGGTGCGCGAGGACAGCCGCGTCCACGCTGGGCCGGGGCACCTGGGCTGGGGCTGGGCCCTGCGCGCCCACGGACCCCACCTCCCCGCGCCCCCCGCGGGCCGCCGCCTCCCCGCGCCCGCCCAGGCCCCCTGCGCGCCCGCCAGTCCGTTTGGGCGCGCAGTCGGGGCGGCCGGGGGGGGGGGCTCCCACCGAGCGCGCCGCGCTCACAACGCGGATGCTCCGCCGGCGCCCGCACCTACCGGACGCGCTCGGCCGTGACGGCGTTGCCGGTGTGCCGCCGCAGTACGGCCAGGAACAGGAGCCGCATGCCGCCGTCGTCCCCGCCGCCGCCCTGCCATCGACCGCCTGCCGCCGCCGCCGCCGCTGCCGCGGACCTGGCCCGGAGGCGGGGGCGGGAGCGCGGACCCGGGCGGGGGGGAACGGGGGGCGGGGACGCGGACAGGGGGAGGGGGGTGGGGGGCGGGGACGCGGGCGCCCGGGCGGCGAGCGGTGGCGCTGGGTCGGTCCCGCCCGCCGCTCCTGAGGCCGCGCCCGCGCTCGCCGCTTCTGGCACCGGGTTCCCGGCGCGCGGGAAGCGGGGGGGGGGAGGGGGTAGCTCGAGGCCTCTCCCACGGGGACCGGGGCCCCGGGGTTCGCGGGGCCATTTGTACAAGGACCGCTCCCACGGGACCAGCACCAGGGGTTCCTCGGGTCCCTCCCATGGGAACCAGAAGAGATCACGGGTGGACTCTCCTGGGTCCAGGGGAGACGGTGGGTCCACTCCCATGGGGAGGAGGGAGGAGGCTGTAGGTCGGCTCCCTTGGGGACTAGCACCAGCGGTGATTTTGGGTCCCCTCCCACAGGGACCAGCAGCAGGGGTGACTGCAGATGCCCTCCCTCAGGAACCATGGACGGCCTCATGGGCACCAGGGTGGTCAGAGTCTGCCCCAAGGGTATCAGGACCAGGGTCTCTGGAATGGCTTGAAAAATCAGAGATGTGGCGATCTTAAACCATTTCCACAGTCCACTAGATATAAGAAGGAGCTGTCTGTCCCCTTTAGATGTGTTAAAAGATAAACTGAGGCATAGTAAGATTTTTCAGTTTATTTGAGCCAAAGTTGACTCCAATGGAGCAGTACTGAACTGGAAATGGTTGGTGGGGGAGGGGCAGGAACTCCCGGAGAGACTTTCATACGGAAAATGCTGAAGCCAAGGAAGTATGTTAATTGGCTCCAGCTGAAAGCCTGGTTGGCTATTTGTGATTGGTTGTTCTGACGTTTCCATTTCGGAACCGTAACCCTGAGGCACTGACAGGGCTGTGTCTTGGCTTAGGTGCGCCAGCTCCCAGATTTTGGAGTCCCACCAGTCTAGGCTCCTGGTTCAATCTGACACGGGGGCCTGAGCTCTTCAGCGCACCACAGCACCACAGGGGTGGAGGCTCACTTCAGTTCCTTCATGATCTCCACCTGAATGTGAAGAAACTCGTTTATTTCATGGCTCCACCATCACCAGGGACCCAGGCTTCTAAGTCCAGCATCCCAGGGTCCGGCCTCTGTTCTCAACATGTCCGTAAAGTGCGGCATGACGGCCGCAGCCCGGCCCATCAGTCAGGCTCCAGGCAGCAGGGAGGGTGGGCACAAGGGTGCACCCAACATGGTGCATTTAGGAGCTCCTCCTGGAGGGTCACACGGCCGAAGCCTTTATCTTACAGAGTACATGACCACATCTTCCATCCACGGCAGCCGGGAAGTAGTCTGTTAGCGGGGCGCACTGTCGCCCTGCATCAAATGGTCACTAAGAGAGAACACAGGTTCTAAGGACCTGGATGTGGACATATCTTTTTCGGGGCAACCACTCGACCCACCAACTGGCCCATTTCAAAAATGTGTGTATGAAGGCCCTGGCTCCCGCACAAGGGACTATTTATTCCCCACTTCTACCCCCATGGCTCTTTGTCCCTTCCCCCATACTGGTCCCAGTCTGCATAATCGTCAGCAGCCAGCCCCTTTGTCTCCAGGGGTCTGAGCTCACTCATATGCTCCAACTTCCACTTGCCTGGGACCATGTTGTGGGTGGAGAAGGCACTTGGTAGATGTTTGCTGAATTAAATGAAATCACTGACTGTGCACTGCTGTGAAATTTTACTCCTATGATAATGCATTCCTGATTTTTTTTAAGATTTTATTTATTTATTTGAGAGAGAGAGAATGAGAGAGAGAGAGCACGAGAGGGAAGAGGGTCAGCAGCCCCCCCGCCGAGCAGGGAGCCCGATGCGGGACTCGCTCCCGGGACTCCAGGATCATGACCCGAGCCGAAGGCAGTCACCTAACCAACTGGGCCACCCAGGCACCCGCATTCCTGATTTTTTTAATGGAAGTCAGTGCTGCAATAGGATTTCCTAGGCTGAAATTCACTTTTATTGGATTTTTCTGAAATACGCCTGTAAAGAAAGAGGTTCTGACATATCTTTGAGGGCCTCTTACTTTATTCATTCATTGCTTTAGCTTACCCATTTATAAGACAAGAAAGACTACACAGTATCATAGCTAATTAGTTCATTTTGGTGAAGTCTTTTATGATTCTCCCAAGTAGGTAATAGAAAAGGGTACAAAGACAAAAAATGTGTTATTATGGAATATAGAAATAATTACTGGGCGGGGGGCACAGCTAGAACAGAAAAGGTTGTAAGCCTCTCATAAGATTTCTCCAGATGCTTCTAACATAAGGGTCTTAAAATAGATGTAAAGCAAAATCTGTTTTTTCTTTCATCATAGTGTTTGCTCAGACTATTTCTCTAGTTCATGGCACCAAGGAAAATGAAAGTTTATTATCTATCCTGTATAAAAGTATAGCATTTCAGGGGAGAGCACCATGGGCATATTGACTTTAGAAATGGCTCATGATAAAAATCAGCACCTGACATCTTTTTCTTTTTTTTTTTTTTTTGCCTTCATGACATTAACAAGTGGGGCACTCTCCTCTTTTTCTAGCAGATTCCAATCTCTGTAGGATCATTCTTCCCCACCATACTGAGAACTACAACTATGGGATGTGTGTGTATGTGTGTGAAGGGGGGGCGGGGGGGAGACAGGGAGAGAGATCTTCCTAAACACAAAAGGCGCAGGCAGAACTGTTGCGCTCTCTCTTCCTGTCTCACTGACAGCACTCGAATGTGACCAAATACAAAAGCAAGCTGTTGGTCTAAAGTAACTAGTTTCTTCCAGTCTTGCTTAATGAACATGGGGAAGTCAACCAGAACTAAACAATTTTCCCTTGGAGCTTTTGGCAAAAAAGTGGGCCTTTCTTCCCACTGCTGTGTTGAAGGTGGGGTGTACTGCGTTCTTAACTCTGCAGTGCAAGGACGCTCATCCCAAAGCTGCTCATCATTGCCAACTGCGGCAGGACATCTGAGAGCTCTGCTGCAGCTCTAGGGCTTCACGGTCCTCGCGATGCGGGAGACAGAGGTCCCATCACTGCACATCAGACGTTAACTGCTGCTAACAACACCCTGTTGTAAGTACTGACCCGTGTTTATTCTTTTAAACTTTTACTATTTTTTTTTAAGGTTTAACTTGAGAGAGAGGGAGAGGGAGCATGAACATGTGAGCAGTGGGAGGAGCAGAAGGAGAGAGAATCTCAAGGCAACTCCCCGCTGAGTGCAGAGCCTGATGCAGGGGTCTATCTCATGACCTGAGATCATGACCTGAACCAAAATCCAGAGTTGGACACTTAACCGACTGAGCCACCCAGGTGCCCCTTTTTCATTTATGTTACACACTCACATATGATTAACACACACAGATAACATCACACAGAATCCCACCGCCCTAAGATAACCACTATGAATACCTTGGTCTCAAGTTTTTCCAGACTCAATGAATAAATCATGGTGCCCATCACACAGTTGGCAGTGCCCTGAGCACTCTCTAGCATCCCTCCCTCAGTCCTCCCCCCAACCCTAGGTTGCAGGTACTACTGTTCTCAGCACTTTACAGGAGAAACGGGAGATTCGAGAAGGTACACGTCTCCCAAAGTGATGCGGACCGTACAGGCTCTATAGTCCCTTCAGCCCCGCTATACGGACCCAGGAACACAGTACCTTGTTGTTGTTGACGACTTGTATTGCTTTGCTTTGTGTTTGTCATTTCGTTACAAAAAGCAAAAATGTTTTATATGGGTTTTTTGTTGTTTTTTAAAACTTAATAATCGTGGTAGGCAATTCCCCCCCCCCACCTTTTTTAGTGAGTAAAGCGACAGAAGTTTATTAAGCAAGGATACAGAAAAAGCTCTGAGAGAGGGGTCGCGACAGGGTTGCCCCATGGGAGGCAACATTCTAACATGGCCCCAAGATTTCCAGCCTCCTGATTTATGCCTTCTTCCAGTTATTCAATCAAATGCCCAACCAGGTGATGAGGTGAAGAGAATTTGTGGATTAAATTTCCAAATTAGTCACCCTTAGAATAGGGAGGTCGTACAGGGTGAGTCTCACCCAGTCACTGAACGGCGCTGCACATTTCCTGATGTCTCCAAGACTCCGGTGTGAGGGATCCTCAGGAGTCTCTGGGGCCGGCACTGGGGCCAAAGGCGGCCAGGTGCACAGAGCGCGGATGGGCTCAGGGTTATGAGCAGCCCCCAGCTGAGAGCCAGCAGGAAGTGGGCCTCTCCCCCCCACCTCACAGGAGTACATTCAGCCACGATCACAGGAGCCACAAAGAGCTCCAGATGAGACCTTAGCCCAGCCCGCACCTTCACTTCTGCTCGGGACCCCGAGCCGGAAACCAGCCAGCATGCGCAGCCTGTGGCTCCCACAGCTGTGAGCTGACACGGTGTTGCCTGAGCCACCACAAAGTTGTGGTAATTTGTTTTGTAACAATAGAAAACGAACACAGTATATCTTGAATGTGTTTCCACCTCAGAATCCTGCATCATTTTAATGAGTACATAGTATCCCAGTGTACCCATTCACTATAATTTAATCAGTGCCTTGCTGTTTCCTTTTTTTTTTAGATTTTATTTATTTATTTGAGAGAGAGAGAACGAGAGATAGCACGAGAGGGAAGAGGGTTAGAGGGAGAAGCAGACTCCCCGCCGAGCAGGGAGCCCGACGCGGGACTCGATCCCGGGACTCCAGGATCATGACCTGAGCCGAAGGCAGTTGCCCAACCAACTGAGCCACCCAGGCGCCCTTTTCTTTTTGCTTTTTAAGCAACACTGTGATGAACATTTTATAGCTAAGTCTCTGCATGCATTTTTAAATTTCTACCAGTGGCACTGCACGTTCAGTGTAGGCAAATGTGGTTTTGATATAAACAGCGTGCCCTCCAGAAA